ATTTTTCTTAAATTTTTTAAGCCAACAAGGACAAAAAAATGACCTTGTAGTGCGATTATTGATCCAAACTTCTTGCTGAAATAGAGTCACTGTAATGCTGTTGAAGCCACCATGGATTTATCTTTAGTTAGTGGCTCACGGGGTAAAAAGAATTGCTGCTGGGTCCCTATTGACCTTCCACCTCTATTCCCCTGTGCACTGAATTGGTACCCTTGCACATCCAAGTTCCCATTAAGTGCACACAGCAGACTATAAAGTACATGGCAGGTTGGAGAGCACAGTATAAACACAAAGAAATATTAAAAGGAATGGTTTGACGCAGGGTCCCTCTACAAGAGAGACTACAAGATTAATACGGGATCCATATTAGTAGGTATTGTACTACTAGTGGTGCCCTGTTTTTGGGCCCTGGAGAAGTTGCCCATTTTGGCAAGTCCATAATCCATCCTTGGAAACATTTTCAGTTCAATATCGTAACAGGGACACCAATGTGAATGTTATGGTAGGACTGAGTCTAGAGTCTGCTCGTATCAGAGCAGATTAATTTCCTGACAGTTCAGGACACTGTAATAAGACAGGTCAGCCAATGTTACTACCCTGACTTTGTGGAAACTGACGACCAAGGTCCAGTGTTTCGTCTAAAAGGATCTCTGATGTACATCAAATGTGTCAGTCAAAACCTTCAACATACAACCAAAACCTTTAAAAAAAACAACAACTTTATGATGTACTTCCAGAAAAAAGACAAAACCCGACATTTTAATATGACACAAACTAAAATCATCATGTCACTTCCAGGTTATTCCATGTTTCCCTGTTCCTATCGTGTGAACATGTGTATCAACTTTTGAGATATCACTCCCTCCGCACACACACAACACACACCCCAAGAGAGGTGTATTTATAGACGAGCGACGAGGCGTTGAAAGGGGAGTTTTTCTTGTGGCCTGTTGGGGACCCAGAGGGGGGAGATGGAGGATGGCGAGCACGTTGGTGTGTATTAATAGCATGTTTGTTCACCATGACTCCAGTATATAATCACATCCATTTCCCCATGTCTCCAAATAACTTCATGTTATTCTCTTCTTGCTCTTTGTTGATTGGCACTTGGTGTTAGCAGCCGGCTTAAATGAAACCTGCTGAGTGGAGGCATCTCACAGGGCAACTAAATTGCTGTCGACTTGGCTGATTACAGCAGTGTCAGTAGTTATTTGGAGAGTTACGCCAGGAGCTGTCAGCTGCAGCTAACTTGACAGACTGAAACTGCCAACTAAAATTAATAGATTTTTGAACATGTAATAACTAAAACCTTTACTGCAATATTATTGAGTAAACTTAAGCAGTTAATTATGGATGTTTTTATCATATCAAAACAAAATACAGCTTTATAGCTATGTTAACCTCAAAAATGCATAAAATATGATAGACAGTAACGGTAGAGAGAAACTGGATTAGCCGACACAAGTTTAGTTTTGTCTCTCTGATCGCCATCGTTTATTTTAAGGCGATGTTGTTATCATCACGAGGCTTCAAACCACAGAGAAGCATCGCAGCTTTAAACGTCTGATCTCTCTTGACCTGTTGCTTTTCCTGTCGCTGTATTTCTGTTTAAGCAATTATGGTGTCCTTCCCAAGGCTTCCCAAACATGACATGACATGGGAATTGTTGGGTCTCTGTAAACAATTTTATAAGGAGTACGGTCCAGACTTGCTCTATATATTAAGTGTCTTGAGATAACTAACTGAACTGACAGCTGAAGTCAAATATTATATCCTCTTTAGAACTATAGAAGGAAAAACATACTAAAAACAAGCTAAAAAGAGACTTTTATACTATTTTATGCCTTCACCATTCTTAAAACTTTACAAGCTATTGTAACCGTGGCACTGTTGATACCATGACTTGGCATTGATCAGCTTTGAAAAGCTGCTTGTTTTCTGTCTTCCTGTGAACTTAAGAATTAAACACACCTTATATGGCCAGCCTCAGAGGATGAGACGTACGTTTTTCTGTGTATTTTAAATACCTGGGGTCACAAGAATTATTTGACCCCAGTACAGAGCTGCCTGCCAAAGGCTTTAGGAGTCATTTTCTTCACCCTCCCCATTACAGCCTGCTGATTATGTCATGCGACTCTGATTCTGTTATAGCTACTTATAGCTAAACATTACAGAATGTTGAGCCTATAAACGGGACTAATGCTTAGTCAAGAAATCTGAAGCCACCTCTGGCCAATGTGCATCAACAATACTGAGAAATGTCACTGCTTTATTGGGTGGATATCATATATTTCCCATGGTAGAAACCTAATTTTGGAACTTTAACAGAACAATACACAGGGATACAAAGATCTGGTTTCGATATTCAACGTGGCATTTTTCTGCTTGACCCTGATGACCTGAACAATAAAGTCAGCTCATGAACACTGAGATACAAAAGGTCACAGACTGTCCATTTAGAAGAACAAACTATGCCACCTATCTTTACTTCTCTTTCTTATCTTCCTCTTTCCCTGTTAAGTTCTCCTTCTAGTTGTAATCTTTTTCCTTGTTCTCCCTGACTCTTGCATGATAAAAACATCCTGCTGCAAACCCCTGCTGACTGCATGGGAGATGAGCAACCCAGGAGGTTGATAACATCCAGACAAACACATCATAAAAACAATGATGTGCACAATCAACATTTTAAACATGCACAAATCCCTCCCAGTATGTAGACTTAATTTATGGAATAAGAGAATTATTTGTCTCATTCAGTAGTCCTTGGTGATCCTCTTTTTTATCAACTTTTTGCAGCTTTTTAGTTTCATCTTTAGTGGCAGGTAGATTGACATAAACGCTGAACTCATGCACACTCTGCTGTGTTTCCAACCTCTGCAGCCCAGAAATGTTTCCTCTTGTTGACCTTACTGACCTTAGAGATGGGAAGGACCAGGAACGCTCCTCCTCCACTGGATTCAACAATGACTGCCAGGAACTTTGGGTTGATAGCGCAGAAGGAGCTATCCCACGTCACCTTGGAAACACGAATGTCATCGTAACCCTGCTCAGCTTTGACCGTCTGGCCAAAGACGTGGCGAAACTTGCTCTGCCGCACGATGCTGCGACTCATGGCTGAGGCAAGTAGAGAAAGGTGGGAGGATGTACAGATGAAGAAATATGAGGTGAACAGACAGTGATGAGGAAGTAAGAAGTGAAAAGGAGGGAGGAGAGGGATACAAATGGAGACAAAGAGATGTCAGAAGGAGGAGAAAGAAATGGGATGAAAGTTGGGTAACACAAAAAAAGGTTTTTGAAAATGGTGATCTCATCCCTATAATGAAGAAACCAAACAAGTTCTGTTCGAGACCACAGAGGTGAGAAAAGATTATGGAAGATCACAACATTGTGCTCGCTGTACTGTATATTGTTTATATCTCCTTCTATTGTATGCAGTGTGTCTTTGTCAGTCTTTGTCTTCTAGTTTAACACTACAACACACAACTATCATCTGATGTGTTGTTAGAAGCAGCTTTCTGCTTTGAACAATACATAAAGATCTCATTTTTACTTTAATTTTGCTTATTGTTTTCAAAGAAAAACTTTGAATTGAAGCCAAGTGTTCTGCTATTCTCTGGTTAATGAACTATGTAATTTGTTTGTTGACTGACAATTGGCTGTGCGGCTGTCCTAGGCACCAGGCCTCAGGGACTGTAATCCCCCAAAACACAAGAGATATTCTATAACAGTGCCTGCCATCAGTGTAGATATTAATAGTTGATTGTGCCACCAAACACTATGTGACAGCCAAACATCAAAGACAAACACTAAGACACAGAGAACAGATAAAAGGCCGGGAGAGAACTTAATATATGACACATACAATCCCACTGTGAAGCTACCAATACACAGTGCAGCAGTTACATTCAATCACACCCATGTGATACAATCCCTATGAGAATATGTAGTTTAAAACGTATCTAACATATGCTCCCAGACTGCGCTGGCTTACATAAGGCCGAAAACTAAAAACCCAAATCTAGAAGTAGGCCTGCATCAGTCCCCAAAGACGTCTGATAAATGCAGCCCTTCTTCCTTTTGTTTAGTGAATGATTATAATATGTGGCTCTTTTCTAAAAGCATAAAAGGCACCCTAACCAGGGTCCAGTTATTTTTATGTACAAGTTTGTCAACTTATTAGGCCTGTGACGAAGTGAACATAAAGTGACCCAAATCCTGCTGTCATCACAGGTTTAAGTGATGATGTCTGACTTTCACACTGGAATATTCTGCATTAAGCCCCAAACTGAACCCAATGACTGTGGGATACATGACTCAACCAGACTGATGATGGGACAGGAGCTCCCGCTTCTTTCCTGGAAGCTCTCTGTTATCAAGCTGATTTACATTCCAGCGACCAGTTTAGACTGGGCCAGCTGTGGGGCAATTCAGGGAGAACACAACATTGCAATACTTATATATATTTATACACATATTTATTTTGACAGCCAGATGGAAAATACATAACATTTCTATATATGTTCTATATACATAAATGTGTATTTTCCATCTGGCTGTCAAA